TGTCTGTAGGGAAAGTGTGTGCGCATCAGTGAGCTTGTCTGTAGTGAGCGTGTGTGACAGTGAGCTTGTCTGTAGTAAGCTTGTGTGTGTGTATCAGAGTTTGTCTGTACTAAATTTGTGTGTGTGCCAGTAACCTTGTCTGTGTGTGTCATTGAGATTGTCTGTCAATGAGCCTATTTGTGTGCATCAGTAAGATTGTCTGTGTGAGTATGCTTTAATGTATAATTTAATTACCCTAAAAGAACTAATATTTTGAATTAGAAGAAGAAATGTATCAATAATATATATATATATATATATATATATATATATATATATTTATTTATTTTTTGTTGCATCACCAGGACTCCAGTATCCAGGCAATTGAACTAGTTGGCTGCACTCTCAGATTTCCTTAAAACTTAACTTTTTTTATTGAAATATTTAAGAGAAGATCAATGTTTCAGTCCCTCTTGTGGACTTTCGTCATGATCCTGATGCAAGTCCACAAGAGGGACTGAAACGTTGATCTTCTCTTAAATATTTCAATAAAAGTTACATTTTAAGGAAATCCGAGAGTGCAGCCAACTATTTCAATTGTGTGTGTGTGTGTGTGTGTGTGTGTGTGTATATATGTATATGTATATGTATATGTATATGTATATATATATATATATATATATATATATATATATATATATATATATATATATATATATATATATATATATATATATATATATATATATATCCTACATAGCACAATGACTTATAGGGCTGGCATTTTTTTCCAGGGCTGCTTCGTATCCCCAGTCCGGCCCTGTTCCTAATCACCACTTCCTCTCACTTCCCCCCTCGTCATAAAAATCATATATTTCCAATGCCCGCCATCAGCCAACCTTATCCACGCTCGATGGGCACGACACCTCAGGCAACCTAATGTTAACCGTTTGAAGCAGGGGAGGTTGAGACCTTAAAAACTTGTTCATCTCATTTCATTTACTTAAACGTAACCCCTCAAACTTAATTGGCAAGGACATACCCCCGGCTAGCTGTGACTAAATATACCAATAGGGTGGGCGGGAGGGAAGCTGTTTGCTGGCCCGAATCCCAAGTGGCACTGAGGTAAGACCTACCCCACACTAACTTACACAGAACATAATCCCACCCACACACTTTTAAACCAATCCCATGCATCTACCCCCACACTCCTACATGTGCCCTTGTCCGCTTAGCTGCGCTATCCCCCCAGGGCCTAGTCAGGTGCAACTTGCTATTTAGTAGTTTATCATCTTTCTTTATATCTGTATAACTGTCTGCATATCTGTATATTGTATATCTGTACATAATTTTTATAGCTGCATATCTGTGTCTCTATATATTTCAGAGCGCCCACCTGTTCTGATTTTGTCGTGAAGTCACTATTTTAGAGTTAAGTCCTGACTTTGTTTCTTGGTGTCCCACTTTTGATGACACCAAGAAACTGTCCCTAGAAAGTGTATCGTAAGGACATCATTAGATGCGCTTGCACTGCGCACAGGACACTGTGGATACTATGGACAGCACTGAAACAGCACTCCCTGCATGGTGTGCCCTTAGAGGGATGGCCTGAGTGATTGGCAGGTAGCCTACCAATTTATTAAGCAGTCTACCTCCTTTAGGCAGTGCCACTGAAGTGAACTGCGTCACTGGCTCGCCCCTTTATACTCCTCCCACCGATATTGGGGGTATGGTGTGACAAAGTGCCCTTCGCCACTTGGTCCTGGAGAGGCCTACTTGCCAGCCTCCTCCCCTGTGACTATGACTCTTTCATGTATCTGGCTTTAAAGCCCCTAGTCTACCTTCAGACAGACTATTTATGTAGGCTGCTTTATTTATCTTATGTTTTAGTCACCCTGTACCCATTATAGGTGCAGGGTGTGTGTAATGTAATTGTTTATAGTGTGTGTGTATGTACTGTGTAATGTATTGCCTGCTCTCTTGTATTGCTGAGGTTTGCTACCAACTAGGTGGGTTTGGCTATGGAGCTTGTCTAGTGCCCTCTGTTGGTAGCAACAGCAATATGCACTACCTGAATTGCAAGACTGGTTCATTTGCATATTCGGGTAGATTTGCATATTGCTAATTCTGCAGGCAGGTGAGATATTTACTGTTAAATATTGTCTCCCCCCACCCCTTTAAAAATGTGCCATTGTGTTGTGATAAGTCACTGTGTGTTGCTTGATATGGTTTGACTGTTTGTGATTTTATTGAGGTTTCACAACAATGTTATTGTGGTGACCCTATTGGCTGGTCCCAAGGGAAATAAAGGTTTTGACAGTTCTTCTTGATCCCTCTAAACGTAGCCTTGTCTCGTTATTGGAGGGAGCTGTTATAATCACACTGGGGATTGCTATGCTCTGCATGCTCCCCTGAGCTTGAGTCACTTAGCTCTTTTAAGAGCTTGTTCCTGACACGCTCTCCTTGGAGGAGGGGTCTTCACCACACAGTCCTGGAGGACAGAAGCTGATCCAGGGTGGAAGGAAGATGGCGAGACTCCAGTCAAGATACGGCGGTTGCGGAGTCTGCGGTGGTTGTGGTGTCTGCTGCAGTGCTTGGGAGTCCTCAGGAAGCGCTAGGAGCATCCATCAACGGAGGGTACTCAGTCGGAGTACAAGGAGCTCCGTTACATATGGTATTTGTATATTTATATGTGTGTATACCTGTCACCCACCAATTCCCTCTCATATACCCTCACATCAATTTACCCACACACAACCCCAATCCCACCTACAACAAACAGACAAGCCCAATCCCTTTAAAGCACACAGACATGTTGCGGGGGAGGGGGTAATTGGAGTGTTCTGTTCTGAAAACTGGTTTAAAATAATAAAGGTGGGATAATCACCATTGTAATTAACGGGACCTTTAACTTTTTTTCACCACTTTTCAGAGCAGAACCTTTACATTAGTGCTTACACACACAAACAAACAAACAAACAAACAGCAGATCAACATAGCACTGATGTAATACGTACTCTTTCTATTGCATTGATAAAAATGATAAATCTTACTCAGGAGCTTTCCTGTAAGTTTTGTCTGACACAAAATATTTTAGTTATCTCATTGGCTGTGAGACAGCCACCTACCCTAAATACTCCATGATAAGTAAGTCTATGTAAGGATCACTGACAGCTCTCCATAGTCACATGTGATTCATTAGGACAGAGACGTACGTTTCCAACTCCGGGTCACATACAAGAATTCTCAGTGACAGTGGCAGCAGGTACAGCACCTTCGGACTTTGTGTTAAATCAGCCCAACTGCTGGAAAATCAAATAATTCCACCAGAGTTCCAGCCAGACCCTCCACATCACACAGTAATCCTAATTCTGCAAAATTGAGAAAATAAATAAAAAAACAGCATTGAATTTATTTGCAGAATAATTTAGGAATCCCTAAACAACCACTTCGACTTGATGGATTTGAGTCTTTCTTCATCCTAGAAGACTGTTTAACTATGTAACAGCCTATTAAAAAAATTAAAGGTTTTGCCAAAGATTTTAGTTATGGATCCCGTGTTTCACAAAATTCAGAATTTTCTTTTCTCACCAAATACTTGCTAGTCAAGGGATTATGGTTAAGGGTAATGATTTTTAAACTGAGGCATGAGGGGTAAAACAATTCGCTGTGAAGAGCAAACAATTGATCCTTCCAATACGGCAGAATTCTCCTTACATGGCTGTGAAACTTGACGTTAACACTTTGTAAAAAAAGTCACTTTTTAAACCCGTAATGTTAAAAGCCTCGCCCTGTCGTAAGTCAATAAAGAGCATCCCATAAAGCGAGCGTATGCTTCACTAGTGAGAGCTGAACGCTACCCCCAGCTAGTGCTAACCTAAGCTGTACTAGGCTGGAACACGGGCCTGACTGATTATTCTAATTTGCTTAGCTGTCAGCGATGAGCTGCGTCCTGTGGATTTGAATGATATAACTGCGTGCAGATGAGGAAGTGCTTTCCTGGCCGGGTCTTTTTTGATTGAAACTTGCTAATCGATAGAGTATTGACAGAGCAATTTCTGCAGGTTTACCGAGTACAGAGAACTACGAGCCCTGTCAGCAAAGAAAAAAACCGACATGGGTGGAGGTAACATGCACCCCTCAATCTGAATATTATCAGGGTTTATGGATTGCCAGCATGTTTCAAGGCATCGTACAATAAAACAGAGCTTCTATCATGTTATCTGGACCATACCATGTGAAGTGTGAGATACCTGGTAGAGTAGGGTTAAAGTGACACCTAAATGGTTTTAGCTTGATGAAGTGCTTTATAAGTGAGGAGTGTGCCCTGTTTATGTTTCCAATCAGACAGCCGGTCCCGTTACTTCCTGGTTTGGTTAGCTCAGTGGAGATAAACTCAGAGGCAGCAATTGCCCAGAGACCCTGCCTGGCAAATCTTCTCATTGAGCTGCATTGGGGAGTCTGGGATTGCTCAATATACAAAATATATAGTATGTGCGCTCCACAATTATAACTATATAAAAGAAAACATAGAAACTGTTTCTGAGTAAAAATTAAGTATATCTTTAATAAAATACAAACAGATATATATATATATATATATAAACATAGAATTGTATGATGCTTCCTATTTCCCCTTTTCCTGCTGATATAAATCAACCTCTATTTAGAACGTTGCTGATATTGATATACAGTGGGTCAAATCTCAAGATTGAATACATCCTAATATACCTTAAATCATAAATGACAAAGACCACAACAAAAATATAAAAAAAAATTAAATGTGCAGAGACCTGAAATGAAAGGTCTGCAATGTTCCATGACTAGAGGGGTAAGATGACTAAAGGTTGCAAAAAGATTTATATCCAGACATACATACATACATACACTGGCAGACATACTGACACACACACACACACACACACACACACACACACACACAGACAGACATACCGAGACATACTGACACACACAGACATATTGACACAGTATGTCTGTCTGTCTGTGTGTGTGTGTGTCAATATGTCAGTGTGAGTCAGTATGTCTGTCTGTGTGTGTCAGTATGCCTGACACACACAAAGACAGACATACTGACACACACACACACACACTGACAGACATACCGAGACATACTGACACACACAGATAGACATATTGACACAGTATGTCTGTCTGTGTGTGTGTCAATATGTCTGTCTGTCAGTATATCTGTCTGTGTGTGTCAGTATGCCTGACACACACAAAGACAGACATACTGACACACACACACACAGACATACTGACATACACACACACACACACACTGGAGGGTGGAGGGAGGGTGGTTTCCCTGGTGTCCAGTGGCAGGCTGAGGCACTGGACACTGATCTCTGGTGGGAAGAAGTGACATGCAGTACTCACTTTCTTTCAGCCAACTGCCGAACAGGAAGGGGTCGGTCGCGCTGTTTAAGCACCACAGCGCCTAACCGGGCCCCTGCTGACACAAAATAGGAATAAATCAGAAATATGTGCTGTAAGCTCAGAGTTCAGAATCCCTGTATTCTCCTTAGTGTGCTGGCCGCAGGGCCCACTGGGCAGCTTCCCCGTTTGCCCCGCGTTAAAGACGGCCCTGTTTATATCATAAACACTCTGCAAAAGGCCCTTTAAAGGGAATAACTGAAGAAATGTTTCATAAAAATAACTATCCAGAACAATATCAGCAAAGTTCTAAATAGAAATGTAACTGTGATAAGACCTTAACCTCCCAGGCTGGGTAAATAGCAGCAGTATCAATTAAAAGAAGCAGTGTGTAGCGACCCAGCGTGAAAGGTATCAGTGTATGGTATAATTATAGGGGTGAGACGCCTAAATGTTGCATAATAGAGGTGTCTGTATTACACCTTACCAATAACAGAAATGATATAGACATATACAGAACAGCACGATATCTAGGATCAGATAAATATTTCTTACAGAGGAGAAATCAATGTGGAAATCACAAAATAAGAATAAATCAGAAATATGTGCTGTAAACTCAGAGTTCAGAATCCCTGTATTCTGAAGCACTATTGGAAAATACCTGACCTCGGTGTAAGCCCCCACCTTGGGTAAAAATCCAAGCAACAGAGGCTTGAATGTAGCTGGACTGTCCGGTGGAAACTTAGGACCGTTACTGAGCACTCCGCAGCTGTAGAATGCTTACACAAGCCAACGGATCACGAGCTGGATACTGACTCAGCTAAACGCCACGGTCGGGATCTTTGCAAATGACCGTGGCTAGATGAGGCACAGACTCTTGGGATAAACGGTAAAACTGGAAACAGCTGATACGTCTACGCGTTTTGTTCTTCTCACTGAACTTTATCACGACTGCTTTCGAAATGGAATAATGGGCTTATATACCCCGAAGTGAGACTAGTAATTAAAGACTACTAGAAAAGTCCGGTGCGGGTCTGAAAAACGGATAAAAAATCAGACTTAAATCATCAGACAACTTAAGGAAGAAACTTAACCCTCTATATAGTAAAAAGGGGGCCGCATATGTATGTTTATTGTAGATTGCAATTATATAACAATAATAAAAACCTAAAACGATTACTTGCACAAATAATGCATATATTTTGTAAATGATATATTTAAACAAAAAACAAACAGCAATATTGTAGTGTAGGATGATTTATCTTGGAGGTAAAAATAAGTAGGTGAAGGAACACCCTCAGAAACTGGGGGGCAAAAACTCAAAACGATCTCTTGACATGACACCAAGAACTAAAGTTCCCAATAAAACATCAGATGAATAAAGCAATTATCAAGATATAGCTTAGAATTGATCCAATTCCTCATTGAGACCGTTGGGGACCAGAGAGTTAAGCTTAAATATCCATTTGGATTCAGCCATTGTTATATCTCTTTTCCTCTTAGCCAGATCTCTTTTGACCGTGAGTAGTTCAATTCCCATTACTGTAATGGACGAATGATCACTATTGTGGAACATCTCAAAATGACGAGCAACTGGAGGTCGCCTATCTTTATGCAGAATAGCTAGTCTCTGAATCTACATTTCAGTGGTCTGATGGTTTGTCCCACATACTGTAACCTACCAATTAAATATCCGTCAGTAAATAGCCGAAAATATATATTGATTCTATGGGGGACGGTGCAGACCTCCTCACTCTTTTTAAGTCTGGATGTCTTGTGACATATGAAGCCACATGTGAGGCATCTACTATGGCCACAATGGAAATTTCCAAAGAATAAATCATTTTTGGCTATAAGACTAGTATCAGATTTATATTTCAAGGGGGCTAACATATTTTTAAGGTTAGGGGCTCTCCTGAAAGTGACTCTTGGAACATCAGAAATACTGAATTTAAGCCAAAGGTCTTGCTTCAGGATCGACCAATATTTATAAAATATGCTGATAATCTCGTCATACCCAAAATTGAAAGTGGTGGAAAAAATGGGCATTTTACCAGAGCCCACCTCTTTAGTACTTATGCTATATTTGGCTCTCTTTTGGCAAGAAGCCTTGGACTCTTCTAATAAGCTGAGAATATCTCTGTGATATCTGGTGTGGTGAGCTGATTACCATGGAGAGGGTTCTGATTTGCCTCAAGTCGGATCAATAAGATCCTCTCTTTTCATCATACCAGCTTTTAAATACGCCCTTAAAATAGGTCCTTATGGGTATGCTTTTTGCATGAAACGTTTGCAGAGCAGGAGGGACTCTCTTTCATGGTCAGCCAAGAGGGAACTGGTTCACCATATTTAGATGAACTGCCCTAGAGGTACGTTGGCTATCCATGTTGGGTGATGTCCACTGTCTGCATGAAGGAAGTTATTTACATTAACTTTCTTTTGATAAGTCTTAGTGCAGATGCCCCCCTCATACTGTCTAAATGTGAGGTCTAAAAACTCTGTCTCAGATTTATGTTTGCTATGTGTGAATGATAAGCCTCACTTATTATGATTTTAAAAGGAGATGAAGATGGAGATGAGAAGCCCATGAACATGTTCACGTAGGATGGAGCGAAACTCGCCCCCATCGAAGACCCCTTTGCTTTGGTTTGCAGGTAAAAAAGATCATTAAACTGAAAATAATTATGTGTCAAAATAAATTCTGTAAACCTTAAAATAAACTCAGCCTGCTGCTCTGGAAGTAGAGGGTCTGATAGGACATAGTATTCAAGAGCCCTCACGCCTAAAGAATGATCAATATTAGTATACAGGGCTGTCACATCAACAGTTATCCAACAACAGTGGTCTAGCCAATCCACATCCTTAACCAAAGTTAGAACATGCCCTGTATCTCGAATGTATGAGGCAAGGCAAGTGAGGAACATATCTCTGTAAGTGAAAATCGACCCATTTAGAAATGGGAGAAGTGAGTGAGCCTATGCAGGAAATGATGGGGCGGCCAGGAGGGTTAGTAAGGGATTTATGAACCTTAGGGAGGTAATCGAAAATAGGGATGTCACCAGGGGCTGACAAGAAGTAGCTTTTTTCTTTTTTTATCCAGAGAACCACTGTTGAAAGATAGATCTATTAGTTCTCTTAGTTCTTGTTCAAATTTTCTTGTGGGGGCGGTCTTTAAAACCTGGTAATACTCTGTGTTCACTAGAATGTTTAACGCCTCCTTCAGGTAATATTGATTATTGAGTATTACGATTCCGCCTCTCTTATCTGCCCCTTTAAATAATTAAATGGCTATCCTGCTTTAAGCTCTTAATTGCTTCCAATTCTTAATAGTTCAAATAATTTTTGCCTCTGGTTCTTAGATTTTTATCGAAATTAGTAGATAAGATGTTTAGATCTCTTAAAACCAGCTCATAAAACATTTGTATATAATGACCCTTATCTGCTTGTGGATAATAGGTTGAGGGTGGTTTCAACCCTGAAAAGATATTGGCTTCAACCACATGTTGGGCACCTGTTCCTTTAGAAGGAAGAGTAAATTATAAAAAATAATTTTATCCTGCGGATCAATAAAAATCTTAGGACAATCCTTGTTACCACCGGTATCTTTCATGTTGAATGATCTAATCACTGTGAGCTTTCTCACTAAATAGTTAAGATCTTTTAAAAGCTCAAGCATATTGGGTTTCCTATCAGGTGCAAACTTCAATCCTTTGTTTAAAAAGGATATTTCACCTGAACTCAATATATATGAGGATAAATTGAGGGTGCCCTTGTTTATATGCATCTCACTTTAGACTGAGTGTTTGCCTCGACCTCTAGGGGTTCATGAGTCTACGCGTTTCGTCTCATAAGTGAGACTTTGTCTTGAAAAAGTTTCACATATGAGACGAAACGCGTAGACTCATCGGTCCATGTCTTACCCCATTACGCTGCTCTTTTAACTTAGCAGCGGCCTTTTTAGAAGTTAAAGGAGAGCAAAACAGAGAGCAAAACAGGTCACAAGAGAGTGCTGAGAATGGACAACAGGTCAATTAGCCTGCCCTTCAGTGGCCCCCACTCAGTTCTCAAGATGGTTTTAGCTCATCTTGTGCCATTACAGAGAGAACCAGGCCATGCATCTCAGACTAATTCAACCCAAAAGGGCAGAACAGATCCATAATATAGGCCAGCTCTCTCAGCACAAGAGATACAGCAACCCCAGATGATCGTTTCAACCTTGTTAGGCATCATCAGTGAGGTATAGCCAAATCCTTCTAGTCACCATGAGCAAGGGGTCCATGTCTGGGTTACCCTTTAAACTTAAGGAGAGCAAAAAACAAGTCGCAAGAGAATACTGAGAATGGACAACAGGTCAATTAACCTGCCCTTCGGTGGGTCCCCGCTCAGTTCTCAAGCTGGTTTTAGCTCATCTTTTGCCATTACAGAGAGAACCAGGCCATGCATCTCAGACAGATTCCACCCAAAAAGGAAGAACAGATCCAAAATATAGGCCAACTCTCTCAGCACTTTAAATAATTAAATGGCAACCCCAGATGATCATTTCAACCTTGTTAAGCATCATCAGTGAGGTAGAGCCAATATCCCTCTAGGCCGCGGCTTTTTCTACAAACTGCCAGCTGGTTGTGCTCCCCCATTGCGGCACCTGGTCAGAAGTTAGTGGGGGTCCGTCGATCGGCACAGCTCACCACATGTGTTAACTGTGAGCTTTTGTGCCATTC